TCAGCTTCCAGCTCCACAGATTGCTCCGCGTACTAAAGTTGTACTACCAAGTCACCAGTTCTCATCTTCCAGCTCGCCAGATACCCCGCGTACTAAAGTTGTACTACAAAGTCGCCAGTGCTCGCCTGCATTTCGCGCGCTCGACGCGCACGATCTCCGCAGAGGGTTGCGCGGGCACCGGACAAATCGCACTCTCGCCTGCATTTCGCGCACTCGACACGCACGATCTCCGCGGAGGGTTGCGCGCGCGTGGGACAAATCGCACTCTCGCCTGCATTTCGCGCACTCGACGCGCACGATCTCCGCAGAGGGTTGCGCGCGCGTGGGACAAATCGCACTCTCGCCTGCATTTCGCACACTCGACACGCACGATCTCCGCAGAGGGTTGCGCGTCAAGTCTCCAAAACGAGCGTTTCGTTCGAGACTTCATGAAAAACTCACACGTCAAAGTCAGCAAAACGAGCGTTTCGTACGAGACTTCCTCCAAAAGTCAAGCGGAAACACCCATCAAAGCACACACATCACGCAGCCCTGCCAAGCAGTTTCGCGATTCCAGCCCCTCCAAACAACATCCGCTCACACGCCAATCCCAATGCGACAGCAACATTCACCTCTACCACAACTCACAACCTCACGATTCCCTGCGCCTGCAACGAATCTTTCCCCATCCACACGTCTGACGCGCACAAAGTACTGCGCCTGCCACGAAATGTCACCTCCCTCACACCTCGCAGCCTCACGATTCCCTGCGCCTGCCACGAGAATCGCACTTCCACGCTTCAAAACCCGCACGAAGTCCTGCGCCTGCCACGAAAAGTGACAATATCATCGCATGTGAGCTTCAACAAAATTTGCACCACACCACACGTTTGGAATGATTTTGACCCGTTCAGAGCACACTCCCATCCTCCAAAATCGCCATTTCAGCTGAGACTTGTCACGAAAACAGAGCTTCGATGCCACACCCTGAAACGCAAATCCCAATGGCACGGCCACATCCAACACCCCAAAAACACGACTCTCCAAACACTAATCCCAATGGCACTGCGCAGCAAACTGCGGATCTCACAAAACGCTGCGCCTGTGCAGCGAAATGCATCACGTTTCTTGCGCGACATGTCGGCGCATGCAAATCACAATGGAATAGCGGCGCAAACTGACACGTGACGCATCCATGCAAACTCACTTGCAAAAGCTTCCCCCAATGGCAGCAAATTTGAGACGCGACGACGACGAGAGACGACGACAAACGACGAGAGACGACGACAAACGACGAGACGACGCAAGCCACGCGAACACAGCTCCAACCCCCAGACCCCCAACTATAAATGGGAACCCTTCGCTACGCATTCGGGAAAAACCCACACAAAGATCTCGGGTGCATCACAGCATTTGCATGCATTTGCATACATCTGCATGTACTGTTCAACCACTTGTATTGCAAATTATATTAATAAAGGCCTTGCTTCTCAGCTAGTGTTGCCAGGTTGCAACTGGCGCTGGGCAGCTCTGTTTTCCCTTCGCTTGACCTGAGTGGATTCAGGTGGGCGCTTAAACACAGTCCAACACAGCTCGGACAGCTCGTGCAGTCACGTGGCATACGAGATACGGTTGCGTCTTCTGCGACCCTCTGCATATGTGCAAAGGTGACAGTGAGTGCATGCTCCTCCCAATCGACACAACTCTGCTTTCTTCATGAAGAAAATACATGGCCTCAGCTATGCAACGAATAGAAGTGCACACAATGAACTTCAAACTGAAAACTATATCTGGACTCCAAAGGCAAACTAACAGTGAGTCTTCCACAAAGTAAAACCGATGCACTTGCTGAGATTCTCACAAACAGCTGCCCTCTCGGTGCAACCTTTCCATTTCTGGACTTACCTGGACTCCAGGCCACAAACAATCACAAACAGATCTAACTTGCAAATGACTTGCTCTTCACAGCACTGAACACTTTCTGGTGCCAGTGGTGGACAAGAGTGAATTTGTTGCTGGGAAACTGGGACTCAATCACGTGATATGCTGCATAACATACTGAAAGCCATGACCTCCACCCTCGTAGCCATGGCCAACATCATGCACCCTAGCAGCGATGGCCTGGTCCAACCATGTCCAACCTAGTAGCGATTGCCTCCAACCGGCCTTCAACCTAGTAGTAGAAATGGCCTCCACCCTAGTAGAGATTGCCTCCAACCTAGTACCGATGGCCTCCAACCTAGTAGCGATGGCCTCCAACCTAGTAGCGATGGCCTCCACCCTAGCCTCCGATGGCCGCCAACTTA